GGCAAGGAAACAACTGAGCAGTATCCGGGTCGTCCTGGTCCATCGGAGAGGACAAAAAAGGGCTGTCAAGAGGAGCATCAATATGGATCCCAGATTAACGACTGCAGAAGTGGCCAAAGTTGGTGGGATGAGCCCGAAATCTTTTCAACGGATTCTCCACAGATTGGGTTATCGTAGCAGAGCAGCTAGACGGAAGCCCTTATTAAGACCTGCCAACATAGTCAGACGAAAGAAGTGGGCAAGTGATATGATGACCAAGCCTCTGGACTTTTGGAAGACCGTATTGTTCTCAGACGAATCAAGATTCACTCAATTTTTGGACAGTGGAAGGATATGGGTCTGGAGAATGCCTCACCAAGTATTTTGGCTCAACAGATTGCAGCCAACTGTGAAGCATGGTGGTTTTTTCAGCGTGATGGTTTGGGGAGCTGTTTGGGTTGGTGGGAGATCGAGCTTAGTGGAGTGCGTTGGCAACATAAATTTTGCGAAACACGTCGAAATATTAAAGGAAGGCCTCTTGCCATTTTATTCCTCGGGTTTCGTGGACAAGAACACAACGTTGTTCCAGGAAGATGGAGCACCGTGTTACACTGCTAGAAACACCCAAAAGTGGCAGGAAGAAAATGGTATCCAGAAGTTGCCCCGGCCGAGCCAATCTCCTGACATGAACCCCCATCGAAAACCTCTGGGCCATACTGGACCAGCAAGTCAAGAAACAACCAAATAAAAACAACTTCGAAGAGCGATCTACTCCAAGTTTTGAAGCAAGAGTGGGCGAAAATCCCACAATCTAAAATTGACGAGATGATTCTCACGATGCCCCAAAGGATCAACGAACTCCACGAAGCGAAAGGAAGATCTACTATATATATTAATTAAATTATAAACATATCAATTCATGTGAATATGACTGAAAATTTTCATTTTTTCTGAAAAGGTGGTGTCTATTTACTTGTGACCACGCTGTGTACATTTTGCTTAAATTTTGCCACATTTCGTTTAATTTAACATAGTAAATTCGAAATTATAGTCAATTCTTTCTTCAGCATGGGGTGTGTCAATTGGACCGACCCCGTGCACATTCAGTTAATATGATTTTTGAAAGGGATTCATTTTGTATATTCGTTCGTTATCAAAAAGCTATTACATGTTCAATATAATACGTGTTATGAAAGGATCAGTTGTGAATTGTATTTTGTTATCATAGATTTCTTTGCATCGACATTTTTAGGTCATGCCTAATCAGTGTTAAAGGAATTCTTCATAATTTTTGTATTGTATAGTTATCTTTGTTTAAGGAATTTTGATTAAATATATTTACCTTTTAGAGCTTATTTTGTATTTTCCACGTTGTTGTTAGCTATACCATCTTAAAGGGGCAAGGTGAACAATTGTTAAGTGGCTATATTTTGATATGTATAATTTGTAACTTTTGATTTTTGTTTATTTTGGAATGTTGGTTTCCCTGTTTTTACCTTTTTGTTTTGTGAAACAAGCATTTTTGCAGGGCACGTTTTGCCAGTGTCTTGAGTAATTCAATAATTTTAAAACTAAGTTGGCTTGAATTAAAAGGAGGGTGAGAAAAAAATATAGTACACAACTACCATACATTTTCTGTTCTTTCAGCTATTACATATATTTCTAATTGTCAGTATATTTTGCATTGGTTCAACATTGGAGCATCGGTCAAGAGAAAGCCACTGAATTTTTCTTGCTTCACAGGACACAGTGAATTACCAAAGACATCACAGTTTTCTATATTACAAAAAGCTTATTTTAGCTTGAAATATTATAGATAACAGAAGTGTTCGTTTTCTGTGATAAATAGCGTGATGTTCTGAGGGCTTGATGCATTCTTCTTGACTTGAGAGTAGCCCTCAGTCACGTGGATAACACGTGCACCTAGAGGGAAATAGAGTATTGTATGTATGTATGTATATATTACTATGTTTCTCTTCAGGTCAGTTTTCAGTTCAAGTTTAGCTCTGTTATCTGATTAGATATATCTGCTTTGTAACTCTTGGTTTAAAGGAGACTTTCAGCATTCAAAGATAAACTTGGAGCTTTTACGTGTTATTTAACCGTTATTTTCTTCGTTGCTCATTTGTTTGCACTTCTTGGTTTGCAGCTTAATTGCAAATCTGGACTGCCGAGAGACATTTTAAAGGTCTATCTCTCTCTCTCTCCAGTTCTTCACAGCACAAGAAACACTTGTCTGTGTTCAAGTTCAGCTTTGATTGTGTTTTATAAGCAGAGATTGTTGACTTGTACAATTTTATTTTCAGCATCTTTGTATTAGGCTAAGTCAGAGTCTGACTTCCCTGGTGACGTCCCTGCTTATACATCCCTTTGGTTTGTTTAGGTTTCGGAAATTCTTAAACGAATAGCTGGACACATACATGACAATAATTTTTTACATAGTTGTTAAAATTGGCGATATTAAAAAAAAAGATTACTAGCACATAATATTTTACCTTATTTTTATAAGTATTATTCGGACCTAAGCTATAATTTTACTTAAGCTTAATAACGATTATTCTTTTCTAAAATATCATTTTGTCTAGTTTGATAATGACTATTGGTGCCTAAAGCAAAATTTTCAATGATTTTTAATCACGATTATTCTTGTCTAAAATAACTTCACTTAATTTCAGTAACTATTGTTCGTATGTAATATTTATTTTATTACATTTTAATAAGGCTTAATATTGCCTATTACTACGAGAATAATGTTTTTAATTAGTATTTGTTTCTGAGCGTGGCCTAGTGGTTAGCGCGCCCAAATTTTGAATTTGAGGATTCATGGCTCATGTACTATTGTCGTAAAAACGCGCTCCGCTCTTTTGGTCGGGGGTACGCCATAAGAGCGATGGTCAAACCCCACTATTAGGTCAGATAAGAGTAGCCAAAGGGTTGGCCTTGAGTGTTGTTGATTAATTACCTTCTGACTAGTCTACAATTTCAAAATTAGAGGCGGCTCAGCGCATATACTTCTCATGTAGCATTACTAGAAAATTCTAGACAAACAAGCATTTTTTCATTTTCATGGAAAAATAACGTATCTTGCTTGTTAATTATTGGGTGTTACCTGTAAGGTTTCGTACATAAAAAAATAATTATAGTTCCTATAAATAATACCTTTACAGCCTCTCGCCCATATGTAACTCATTATAGTGTAGACTTTATTTGGTCGAGAGGAAAATCCAAAATCGTTCCATATAATATAATAAGCCTTAGGAATTAACTCTACGCCAAAATGGCAATTTCTATAATATAACTATTGTATATGATATGATAAATTATATATATATAAAGGAAAAGTACTGATGTTTTACAGTGGCGTAGGAAGCTTACAACCTCCCCCCCCCAACTCACCCCCACTTTTCAGTCTGTCCAGTAAAGATGTCTCAAAGTTAAGCAAGTTACTGAACTTACTCTCAGGAAGAGCAGGAGAATGTATAAAACTTAATACAGAACCCAAAAGCTTCTAGGCCCTTAAAGCGAGTCCCGGGCCTTGGCCGTAATGGGTGTACCTGTGACACACATTTCCTCGCTTCGCTAGGTCAGATAAATCTTGCTACCCCACCCCTCAACTTTGAATTTGTCTCCTACACCTCTGTTATACGGATACTCTAGTGTTCTTTGGGAAAATCTTAAATTATGAACAAAAATTCGCAATATTAAAAGATAAGGATCTGATGATATTAGTGATGCAATAGAAGTTATAATCTCTATTCAGATTTCAAAGTATGACATAGATTCCTCTTTCAAAGCTAAAAAAAGAAAGCTTATAGAAAAACACTAGTTTAGCCCATCTATGATTCAATCTAAAGGCTTGTTTAGTTATTATTAATAGTTTAAATAAATATTTTTCTGAAGGAAAAGGGTAATTTTATTTTGACTTTTCAAAGATGCTTAAGTGTTTCTATTTGTAATTAAATTCATTGTTTCTTCTTAGCTGTGTTAGGCAACTTTTTATTGAGTTCCTTGAGGAAAAACAACAACGTTTTCCCAAATCTTTGTAGGATTTTCATATTTTATCTATATACATTTGTAATATTTGAATTATCAGTGTAAATAAGGGACTTAATTTTCTATGTATAAAATAAGCACACAAGTGAGAGTACAGGATTAACACCAAGTGTTACATTCGTCTGTGCAAATAAACAGCTATTTTTCAGGGTGTATGGTAGAAAATATGTCAACTTGATAGCCTAGTTTTATGTTTCTTTGTTTACATCTAACTTCAAAGCATTTTTGTTGTTTGAAGATAATATTTTCTATTGTGTCATATATAACTTAATAATATCTTTGGTGTCCGAACACAATATTCTTTAATACAGAAAACACGAATTTATCTTTCCATTTGAAGTAGTTTTGGCAACTGAATGTAATTAGTTTATCTTTTCTCTGTAATTGGTTTCGTTAATATTACTGGTTGTAATGCTTCAAGTAATTTTAAATATTATTATTCATATTTATACTTCTAAAGATTGTTTTGATTTGTTAGCTTAATGTATGGATTTATGACTCACTTAAAGTTGGTCGAAAATACTGTTAACACTGAGGATAGTCAAATGACGTTTCACTGTATTCTGTCGTTGTGTGTTTTAATTTTTAAGCTGGTTGTTGATTTATGACATTATGTATAGTTCTAGTTGGTTTGTTATATAGACCTGGTTTCATTAATTTATAAGTTACTTTTGTTGTTAGCTCATTTATGTTTAGAATTTAATAATATGTAATATCATTTTCTAATATAGAAAATTCTTACAAGTTGTTTTCATATTTAAGTACAATATAACGGTTGCTAATAAGGAGTGTATATTAATCTTTAACGTTAATACCTTTGGTAGTTTAACATAACATCCTTTCTAGGTAAAAAGTATTGGTTTATCTTTAACATAGAAGAAGATCTGGTGTTTGAGATTTGTATGTTCTTTAATAAATAATGTAGATTCACAGACTAAACGTAATACTTTATCGGAAGAAAAACTCACTCTCGCGGGCAAGGACGTTGTTGGTTTTTCCAGGAGATCCCATAGAAACTTTTGATAATGTGCACAACGCCCGTCTCCAAAGTCCTCCTCTTCACCCTTCCTGAGCGACTCGGCTTCCTTGCGCATTTCTTCGTGCACGTGTTCCTTGCGTTGATGGTATTTGTGTTGGCAACAAGATTCTAGATAAAGCTCGTCGATACCCCAGTACTCTAAGTCGTCACTGAAAGCCAGAACACACATTTCTTCCACGAGGTGGAGCTTTCCAGTACGGTAAAAGTTTAATACTGCACTAAAAGACCGCGGGTGCCGGTCAAAGAAGTATTCGTTTTCTACCAAACTGTAGTCATCGCACAGCTTCATTATAGCTTCATGAGTATTACATTCTCTCAGGCGACCCAGACGAGTATGGGGTAATCGTTCTAGCGTACGCCACAATACCTCATGCTTGACCCCTCCTACGTTGATGGTAACCCTTCGATTCAAGGCCTTACTACGCATGATCATGAAGGGCTCCGGTGGAAGCGAAGACATAGATCTAGAATATGATCGTTCCATACCTTGACCACTGGTTAGTGCCAACTCATTAAAGTTCAAAATCTGTAGAGGAAAAGAGGAGGTCTGTTGTAGTGGCGCCCTCTGAGAGCTGGTGGATATATTCTGGGGAGAGCTGACGATAGGAGTAGTTAGGGGGACAACTGGTCCGACCCTACATCCTGGTTTCTCTATACTGTCGGTATCTATCATATCACTTACTTTAAATGGCGCCACACTGTTGGTAGCCCGAGCTAGTCGTGCTAAGTGACTAGCCGGCAGACAAGGCCGCCCCAGCCTCAGGGTTTACTAGTATGGATGATAGGCCCTGAAAACTGCCATGCCAAATTGCTGACCACTGATCTCTTGACCTGGATATTATCATTCACTTAAACGTCTCGTCTCTGTGTTCAGTGAACCTGAAAGAAAAATAAAATTTGGAATTCACTGAAACCTGAATGGTCCTACCTCACATTCAATGAGAACCAAATAATATACTATGTTTTGCCTTTAATATAACCTTAAAAAAAGAACAGGTTTCACTGAAGTGTGAAAGATAAAAAAAGAGAGAATCATCAATAGCCGCGGCACTTGAAATTCTTTTAGGCAGGATTAGAGTAGATTGATATATGAGACCTTTTCCCCCTTTTTATTGGCTATGTTTCTGTGCCCCCCCCCCCCGTGGCACAGCGGCATGTCTGCATCTTACAACGCTAGGAATCGGGTTTTGATACCCGTGGTGGGCAGAGCACAGATAGCCCATTGTGTAGCTTTGTGCTTAACTTCAAACAAACAAACAAAACAAACTATATTTTTGTGGGGCGCGCGTATACACGATTCGATTTTATTACTCATCAGAATCTCTACCAGCCTACTTTCAAATTGAAATTCTTTTAGGCAGGATTAAAATAAATTAACCTATGAGAATTTGGGCGTTTTTAGATGCATCAATCGAAAGGGTTTGACCTCCTGAATCCAAAACTGTAATTAGATAAAAAAACGGTCAAGAGATGACGGAGCTGTGAGCTAAAAGTTTGTACTTGAGAAAAAAACTCAGAACCATTCTATGAGCTACTATACCACAGCTAATAATCACTCACATTCAGGAAATCTTAAATAAAGATATCTCATATCCACTAAAGCCGAGATAAAGATCATACATATCTCACAGGCACTAAAACAATGCATTTCATTATACTGAACTAAATATAATATATACATGTAGTTTACACGAAAAGAAACTGATAACACGCATTAGATAAACTTCTATGAATAAAATTTCGGAATAGTAGTATGATAAATCACCATTTATCGATACTTATACTGCACACGTGTAGTGTGAATTTATATATTAATATAAGATAGATAGATTTGTATCTATATTACTTTTTCGTCTCAGTTTGTTTATTTGTTTGGAATTGAGCACAAAGCTACACAATGTGCTATCTGTGCTCTGCCAATCACTGGTATCGAAACCCAGTTTTTAGCGTTGTAAGTCTGCAGACATACCGCTGTGCTACTGGGGGATTTTCATCTCAAACAACAGCATTCACATATTAGCATTTCAATTAGAAAAACAAGTAAGGTGTTCACATTCGTAGTGCACGAGCATACTTGCAAATTTTATCAAAATTTTTTCCACATATCCAAATGGCAAACATGATAAACCACTCAAGTGGTAAACACAATATACCATCCAAGTGGTAAACATGATAAACCACCAAAGTGGTAAACACGATAAACCATCCAAGTGGTAAACACGATAAACCATCCAAGTGGTAAACACGATAAACCATCCAAGTGGTAAACACGATAAACCATCCAAGTGGTAAACACGATAAACCATCCAAGTGGTAAACATGATAAACCATCCAAGTGGTAAACATGATAAACCATCCAAGTAGTAAACATGATAAACCATCCAAGTGGTAAACATGATAAACCATCAAAGTGGTAAACATGATAAACCATGTAAGTAGTAAACATGATAAACCATCCAAGTGGTAAACATGATAAACCATCAAAGTGGTAAACATGATAAATCATCCAAGTGGTAAACATGATAAACCATCCAAGTGGCAAACATGATAAACCATCCAAGTGGTAAACATGATAAACCATCAAAGTGGTAAACATGATAAACCATCCAAGTAGTAAACATGATATACCATCCAAGTGGTAAACATGATAAACCATCAGAAAATGAAGAACGTAAAGCTCAAGTTATTGCTTCCTGCGTAAACAACTTTTATTTGTGCTAGTGCATTTTTGATTGAAGACTGTATTTTACACTCAAACGAAGGCCGTTTTCCAGTAGGAATTTCATATTTTAGTTTTCATTATTTATTTTTAAACTTACTCTTCTCTAGCATAAATGAAAATGTGCATTTTTTGTTAAGCGCACAATGGGCTATTTGAGTTGTTATGCCAACCAAAGGAAGCAAAGTTCAAATTTGAGCTGAACCATCGGAGGCGATACAAAACTTTAATTAGAAATACATAAAAGAATAAATGCTGATTGTAAGTAGAGCTAGAGAAAGTACAAATTGTTAGAAACGTCACAGTTAGAAAGCAGTTGTTTTTCAATGAAAGCATATGTAAGTTAAAAATGTGTTCTTATAGAGAACACAGATGGTTTCTATAAATAAATTACAATGTATGTGTATCGGAAATGTACAAACAACATGTGATCCCGGCTGAAAATGGTCTATCACGCGGTGGCTTTTTCATGGGAAATGTAATTTCCGGTCTGATAAGAAAAACATTACTATTATTGAATTTCTCCATGAAAATATTATTGGTATCCTTATGAAAAATCAACCTCTAATGGTTTCTTTTACGATTAAAATGGTCACATTAAGTCATTTTGATGTCACTGCTGGTAGAAAAATAAAATACCATATTTCTCGTATAAAAATATGAGTATCATTTCTATGGGAAAATGAATAAGGTGAGATGCTTTGAACAGAAATCTTTTTTTCGTTTACAGATAATGAAAATATCTTTTTAAAAAGGGCTGACGTGGCCTAGTATTTATCATGCCCAAACTGTGAATCCGAGAATTTTGTTGCCGCAAATTGTACTTCGCACTCTGGATCCGTGCGTAGGTCAACTATAAAAGTGGCAGTCAAGTCTCACTATTCTGTCAAATAAGAATAGTCTAAGGATTTGCGGTGGGTGCAGTTAATGAGCTGCCTTCCATCTAGTTCACCAGTTGCAAATTAGGAACGGCTAAGCGCAGATAGTAGTTGAGTTGCTTTGCTTAAGAATTCTTTAAAAAACAACGTGATATTTGCTTTTAAAGTCACCATTGAATTGTTGGTGTATATAATTAAACCATACATCCAGGAGTTCTGACTAGCATGCTATTATGATAAATACAAAAAGCAGACACTGCAACTAAAACAATATTCTACTCGTCGAACGAAGGTACAAGTAGAATCGGGTTAGCAGCTAATATTGTATTATATGGGGATTTACGAAATTTCTAAAAATTACAGAATATTCGGTATTTAGTAAAATAATAGTTGATATTTTAATCTAAATTATTTACAAATTAATATCACACCATTGTCATGCGAGTTTAGAGATAAGAATGTCGATTAATTCTACTCAACATTACGTTGCATGACAAACATTTTTGGACACCGAATAAACAGGCTCTAGAAGCCTATTGTTATCTACTCTATACCACTATTTAGAACTCCGAGGAGTTTTCTCTGGTCAAATATTGTCATATTTTTAGATGAACTACAGTATTGCTCTCGTTTCGATTTCTACAGGAAGCAAAAATGTCGAAGTTTTCTACACATTTATTTTCATATGTATATTTCATTACATGTTTAATTCATTGTCAATTTTATGCTCACGACTTGTTCGTCACCGATATGTTTACTATTGTAATTTCCTGTGTTCACTTGATGGTCGTGGATAACATGTTCAGTAGTGCAAGTTTCTATCCTTACGTCATTCTCTCGGACAACAAATTTAGGAGAAACTGATACTACTAAACATGTTATGCACAAGCTCATGATGACATAAGGAGAGAAACTGATACTATTCTTATGTCATCATGAGTTTGTGCATAACATGTTTAATAGTATCAGTTTCTCTCCTTATGTCATCATCAGCTTGTGCATAACATGTTTAGTAGTATCAGTTTCCCTCCTTATGTCATCATGAGCTTGTGCATAACATGTTTAGTAGTATCAGTTTCCCTCCTTATGTCATCATGAGCTTGTGCATAACATGTTTAGTAGTATCAGTTTCCCTCCTTAATGTCATCATGAGCTTGTGCATAACATGTTTAGTAGTGTCAGTTTCCATGCATACTTCATGCTGATGCAAAACATGTTTAGTAGTGTTAGTTTCTATACATACTTCATGCTCGTGCAAAACACGTTTAGTAGTGTCAGTTTCTATCCTTACGTCATGCTGGTGGGTAACATGTTTAGTAGTGTTAGTTTCTATCCTTACTTCATGCTCGTGCATGACATGTTTAGTAGCATAAGATTCCATGCTTACGTCATGCTCATGGGTAACATGTTCAGTAGTGTCAGTTTCTATGCTTACTTCATACTCGTGCATAACATGTTTAGTAGTGTCAGTTTCTATCCTTACGTCATGCTCGTGCATAACATGTTTAGTAGTGTCAGTTTCTATGCATACTTCATGCTCGTGCAAAACATGTTTAGTAGTGTCAGTTTCTATCCTTACGTCATGCTGGTGGGTAACATGTTTAGTAGTGTCAGTTTCTATCCTTACATCATGCTCGTGCATAACATGTTTAGTAGTGTTAATTTCTCTCCTTACGTCATGTTCGTGGATAATGTGTTTAGTAGTATCAGTTTCTTTCCTTACGTCATGCTCGTGCATAACATGTTTAGTAGTGTTAATTTCTCTCCTTACGTCATGTTCGTGGATAACGTGTTCAGTAGTATCAGTTTCTTTCCTTACGTCATGCTCGTGCATAACATGTTTAGTAGTGTTAATTTCTCTCCTTACGTCATGTTCGTGGATAACGTGTTTAGTAGTATCAGTTTCTTTCCTTACGTCATGCTCGTGCATAAGATGTTTAGTAGTGTTAATTTCTCTTCTTACGTCATACTCTTGCATAAGATGTTTAGTAGTGTAAATTTCTCTCCTTACGTCATGCTCATGCATAACATGTTTGGTAGTGTGAGTTTCCTCATGTGATGCTTTTGTATAACATGTTTAATCAATTTCTATCCTTACGTCATGTTCTTACCATTGCTAGTTTTAGTCTTCAGGTGATACGAGTTGACATACTGTCTGTTGTCAATTTCAAACATCAAATACACTTTGAAATTTGATGCTTTTGTTAAGGTGATTACTATCAACAGTTACTCCTTTTATAGAAGTTCTTTGAAGATTATTTAATTAATCCCAGAGGACACGT